TTCCTTTTTGGGGTTCATATATAGAATCCTATAAGGTAATCCCAAAAAGGAACTACTATGGAGCCTCTGGGTAAAGCCTGAAACCCTGAACAGGCCCTGAACGCAGATGCTAGGATACCCAGTAACCTAAGAATAAAAAGGCCTCTCTTTTGGTATTGGGTAACTTTATAAGGAACCTAGGACTACAAAAAGGGAATAAGGGTACTACTGGGTATCCTGGATAAGGGATCCTCAATCCTACCTACCTTCTTCCCACCTTTTGAGGCCTCCAAAGCTTCAAACCTAGCCGGGGGTTTCCGAAAATAGGGACCCTAATATAGTAGCCTAAATAGTAGGCTCCTTATTGTAAGGACGCCAAAAATAAGGTACGATTAGTTTTTCGGAAACTCCCAGCCCTGAATCCTCAAACCCGGAGCCCCTAGTCCCCACCGGCCTCTGCTGAGCGTCAGGTGCTGCTGGCAAAGCGCCTCGTAGCATAGCCACCGCCGATTTCACTACTTGGAGGCCCAGTTGACTTAGTAAGTCTACTTGGTATCCCCTAGAAACCCTATTATAATCCCCATAACTCAGCTTACTAACCCTACTTACTAAGTCAAAAGGGCCTCCAAGTACCAGGGACTCCCGTGCCCTTTAAAGCCTCTGAAAAAGCAGTCGTCCAAAACACTTAACACTAACCCCAAACCGCTTAACACTAACCCCTAAATCCCAAAAACCCAAAACCCTTCAAACCCTAAGCCCCAAAACGCTACACTTCTATTTCCTATTAAACCCCTAGACCCTATAGATCCCTTAAAGGAACCCTTATAGTAGACTCTCAAAAAAGTTCAGGAACCCTTATAAATGATAGTACCCTTCAAAGGAACCCTAGGAACCCTACCCTACTTAAAGGATCATGGGACTTAGTAACTTGGGTTATGATTAGGGTAACTATACTTATAACTACTTATAACCCCAGTTGAGGTACTTATAACCTTACTTACTAAGTCCCACGATCCTCCAAGTAAACCCTGTATCCTAAACCCTATAGATCCCTTTAAGGAACCCTACAGATCCCTTCAAGGAGCCCTTTAAGGAACCCTACTTACTAAGTCCCACGATCCTCCAAGTAGACCCTAAACCGTCGCAACCTAGTTCAGAAGCAGCCCACAGCTCGATTCTAGACCCATCAAACCCTTAAAGGGTCCATGTGCCCAAGTAGTGATCCTTTAAGGGTTCCTTTAAGGGTTGCCGGGTTGCTTCAAGGGTTCCTTTAAGGGTTCTTTTGAGGGTTGCTTCAAGGGTTCCTTGAAGGGTTCCTTCAAGGGTTGCTTTAAGGGTTCTATCGGGGTTCTATAGGGGTTTAGGGTTTAAGAGTCCATGTACCCAAATAGTGAGTACATACATCGGACTTAAAGTAGTCCCGGTTTGGGTGCATTGGGCACCAAAGTATATACTATTCGCGTACGGACCCTTAGGAAAGTTGCTTGCCTGTCTTTACGGCTTGGGGCTTGGACTGTTCGGAACCATGGGAAATTCCCATAAACGCGAAGCCCATAGCCCTAAAACCTAAACGGTTTAGGGTTTGGGGCTTTGGGTTAGGGGTTCTGAGAATTTGGCGTCTACTTGTAAATAACTCGGCTGAAGGGTTCTTCTCATCCCAGGAAAGTAATTACAGTCAACCCCAGAAATTTGGAACATGGGTATAGGGTTTAGGGTCTAGCGTCTAGGGTGTAGGGCTTACCGGTGATTCGTGCTAGGATCCCTTATACTTTACTTTTAAAGGCATCAGGACTGGACTGTTCCAACTTTATGGCTTCTGAGGATCATGGGACTCATTAAACAAGGTTATAAGTACCTTAATTGGGTTATGAGTTATTTATAAATATAGTTACCTTATCTATAACCTCACTTATTGAGTCCGATGATCCTCTAAGTATACCCTGAACCCTAAACCCTATAAGATCCCCTTAAGGAACCCTAAAGATCCCTCTAGGGAGCTCTTTGAAGGAACCCCACTTACTAAGTCCCATGACCCTCTAAGTATACCCTGAACCCTGAACCCTATAAGATCCCGTAGATCTCTGTAGGGAGCTCTTTAAGGAACCCTTGCTAAGTCCCATGATCCTCTACCCAGACCTTCCAAAATCCCTTAATTAAGGAATATACCTTAATTTATTAGTTCATATTAGGGATCCTATTATAATTTAAGGTATATTCCTTAATTAAGGGAGTTTGGAAGGTCTGGGTAAGTATACTTCTTTCGATTGCCGAGAAGACAAGCCCAGACCTACGAGCTGAACCGTTGCTAACCCAGAGACTCCAATATCCCTTAATCAACCCTAAGGGTCCATGTACTCATATAGTATATACATGGGCCTTAATGTAGTCCCTATATAGGTTCTTTGGGGCTCATGTATCTCTATATGAGTACATGGACCCTTAGGGTTAATTAAGGAATATTCCTTAAATCATGCTAGGGATCCTACATCTATTTAACGTGTATATTATCTTAATTAAGGGATATTGGAGTCTCTGGGAAGAGATTGCGGGTTAGGGTTTTCGGGTTTGGGGCCTTTAGGGTTTAGGCTGAAGGCTTAGTCTTTGTTTAGGGTTTAGTGTGAGTTGACGGTTAAAAAGGTTTCGTGGTATTGAAGACGTATGTTTTGGGATGTGAAGAAGATTTTCTCGAAGGATCAGGGATTTACTAGCAAGTTTGAAGGGTAGGGTTACGCTGTACGCTTGGAGGATAAGATGGGTGGAGTTGTAAGTTATCGCGCCTACAAGCTTCCCTATATCACCTGGACCTACTTACCCCATGTCCTACACATTCACAGCTAAACCCTCAACCCCCAAACCCTAAACCCTAAACCGCTTATTAAACCTGTGACTCTATGACTCGATGCCCTTGGACAGGTCTCCAGCCGTGCTGTTAACAGGCACGACTTTCCAGAGTCACTGCCTGTAGGGGCCTTAATAATTCGAATAGGGCTTTGGGGGTTCCTTATTATCGTTGTAGTATAATATGCCCCAACACCCTATTCTAATTATGGACCCTATAGTAGATAAAGTGCAGCCAGTGTCCGCGAAGAGCCGTAGACGACGTCACTATCGTTGGCCAGGAAACTTGACTTTCTGGTTCAAGCATGAGTCACGTACTCAGCATATTGACTTATGTACGTCGGATGCAGGCGGCGACCCACTGAAGCTTGCCCTAGTTGCCAGAGCCTCGAATATAATGTACATGACGTCTGGCCTGTGTTGGGCGTTTGAGGCGACCATGCTCCGCCCTCGCTCGGCGTTGCAATGATTGGCGCATCCATGTCAAAGAGTTCGTGCGAGTATTCCCTAAGGTAATATATGCTTTAGCAATATAGAGACTACTTTAAGGCCTAAGTAAGTATATACTATTGGGTAGATGCACCCTTAGGGATTTCTTCCAGAGGTCATCCTGGACAGCATGTGCCCGAACCTTAACAATCCAAATAGCCCGATTACAGGCTTTCGGCCCCCAAAGTTAAGGTGCCACGCATTTACATTTGAAGCCGATCGAGCCGATTGCCCTAAACCCTCAAACCCTAACCTCTAAACCCTCAAACCCTAACCCCTAAACCCTCAAACCCTAACCCTAAACCCTCAAACCCTAACCCTAAACCCTCAAACCCTAACCCTTAAACCCTCAAACCCTAAACCCTCAAACCCTAAACCCTCAAACCCTAACCCCTAAACCCTCAAGACCCGACTTGGGTATGAACAGATCCGGGCCCCGCGACCGGAGGGCTCTTCAGCTCGAGGTGCAGTTGCCGGCCGGGCTACCTTTCTGGGCTTAAGGCTGCCGACCAGGCTAGGGTTTAGAGTTTAGGGTTAACCCTAAGGGTCCAAAGGGCCCAATAATTAGGTACTCGGTTCTAGGACAGAGTTGTGTAGGTTAGATTTTTGGAGAGTATATGATTATTAGGTATTTGGACCCTTAGGGTAAGGGCCTTGGTAATGAGGGTTGAGGTCTCAAGTTTAGGGTTTAAGGCTTCTTCCTTCGACGGCTCCATAAAAGTCTACTACGGGTTTAGGGTTCCTGAAAGGGTTCCTTACATGGCTTCTCACAAGGTTACTGAAACGGCTGGTTTCGGGTTTAGGTTTCGTTTCGTTGTGCTGACCTCCTCAGCGAAGCCCAAACCATTTTGGGTGTCAGTGCTCTCTGTTGGGGTTATAAATGTATTTTATGCTGTATCCATCACCCTAATCCATAGCCACAGCCCCTGACCAAAAAATCTTAAACTCTGAACCCTAATCCCTGAACCCTAAACCCTAAGCCCTAAACCCTGAACCCCCCTGAACACAAAACCCTACTGACCCCAAACCCCAAACCAGAAGCCCCACTACGTAAAGCGAGATGCTTTGAGGATCCGGGCAGCTTAAGGTTCTGGGTTTTAGGTGTCGAGGGTTGAGGGCTCTAGGGTCTTAGGCTTTAGGGTGTTAGGTGTGAAGGTTCTAATACTATCGGCAGGGTTTTGAAGTTTAGCGTCTGGTTGTCCCACATAACGGCGTCTTGGCAGATTGACTCAGGCTCGGTGCTGTGGAAAAGGAGAACAGACCTTGGAATGCAATATAATTTTGTTCCACTTCGGCGAGGTCCGGTCTGCAGAAAACATTGAATTGCTTTAACATTGAGCTTCTGCTAAAACTGGCCCGAAAGCACCATAATGCTTTAAGAGTGAACGTCTGAAAAAAGGGGCAGAAAGGGCTTCGCTCCCCGAAGTACTCTTCGTACAGGTCTTGCACACTCATTTGTAGAAACTTCAGCACACTTAGAAACTTCAGCCGCGTGGGAGGGTCGTTGCAAATTCAGCTATGGTCACGTACAACTTTTGACACGTCGCTCATCTGCTGCAATCACCACAGGTGCAGTTACTGTACTCAACTTGGCATGGCGAGAAGTCGTGAGGAAAAGGCCTCCTGCCAGAGGCTCCCCAACTGCCCTTGCCCTTCCTGAGCACTTTCCTCAGCAGCAATGCTGGGTTTAGGGTTTAGGGTGTAGCAGCTGGTTCTTGCAAGGTTCTTTTCAGCCTCTGTCTCCAGCAAGAGGTGAGCAACATCCAACTGCCCGTGCAAACTGCGGTGCAACTGTCCGTGCAAGCTGCACCGCGGAAAGAGGCAGCACGGAAGTTCGGGGCCTTCTCGCTCTGGGCATGTCGCAAAACGCACTCAACCTTCCGCTGCGCTTTCTCTGTGTCACTGTTCATGGCCTTGTCCTTGTCAGCCGTCGCGTCCAACAGAAGGTGTTCAACCTCCAGGTGCCCAGTCTCAGCTGCCATGAACAAAGGGGTGGCGCCATCTTCACGAGCCTTGTCCTTGTCCGCGTTGGCCTCCAGCAGAAACCGTACAACCTCCAAATGACCTTTCTCAGCGGCGATGTACAAAGGGGTGGTGCCACTCTCATGGGCCTTGTCCTTGTCCGCATTAGCCTCCAGCAAAGGGCGTGCAACCTCCAAATGACCCTTCTCAGCTGCGATGTACAAAGGGGTGGCGCCACTCTCACGGGCCTTGTCCTTGTCGGCATTGGCCTTCAGCAGAAGCCGCACAACCTCCAAATGACCTTTCGCAGCGGCGATGTGCAAAGGGGTGGCGCCACACTCATAGGCCTTGTCCTTGTCCACATTGGCCTCCAGCAGAAGCCGTACAGCCTGCGACTGTCCATTCTGAGCTGCGATGTACAAAGGGGTGGCGCCACTCTCATGGGCCTTGTCCTTGTCGGCATTGGCCTCCAGCAGAAACCGTACAACCTCCAAATGACCTTTCGCAGCGGCGATGTGCAAAGGGGTGGCGCCACACTCATAGGCCTTGTCCTTGTCCGCATTGGCCTCCAGCAAAAGGCGTGCAACCTCCAACTGTCCGTTGTGAGCTGCGATGCACAATGGGGTGGCGCCACTCTCATGGGCCTTGTCCTTGTCGGCATTGGCCTCCAGCAGAAACCGTACAACCTCCAAATGACCTTTCTCAGCGGCGATGTACAAAGGGGTGGCGCCACTCTCATGGGCCTTGTCCTTGTCCGCATTGGCCTCCAGCAGAAGCCGTACAACCTGCGACTGTCCATTCTGAGCTGCGATGTACAAAGGGGTGGCGCCACTCTCACGGGCCTTGTCCTTGTCGGCATTGGCCTTCAGCAGAAGCCGCACAACCTCCAAATGACCTTTCGCAGCGGCGATGTGCAAAGGGGTGGCGCCACACTCATAGGCCTTGTCCTTGTCCACATTGGCCTCCAGCAGAAGCCGTACAGCCTGCGACTGTCCATTCTGAGCTGCGATGTACAAAGGGGTGGCGCCACTCTCATGGGCCTTGTCCTTGTCGGCATTGGCCTCCAGCAGAAACCGTACAACCTCCAAATGACCTTTCTCAGCGGCGATGTACAAAGGGGTGGTGCCACTCTCATGGGCCTTGTCCTTGTCCGCATTGGCCTCCAGCAAAAGGCGTGCAACCTCCAACTGTCCGTTGTGAGCTGCGATGCACAATGGGGTGGCGCCGTCGTTCCTGGCCTTGTCCTTGTCGGCCTTCGCCTCCAACAAGAGGCGTGCCACCTCTAAGTGGCCGCGCTCGGATGCGATGAGCAATGGGGTTGGATCACCTAAATTTGGGTCTTGAGGCCTTTGCAGAATTCTCTCCGCGACTGATGCAAGCCCGTTTGCTGCAGCATGCCGAAGCTCTTCTTGCAATTCAGGTGCCGAGTTAAAATTCACAAGCACGAGCCGAACATCGCCTGGCTTCAGGTCGTCGTTGTCATTCAACACGATACTGTCTTCCAAGTAGAGCAGCCGTTGCCGGAATCTTGGTTGCCCGCAGAAGCTTTGCAAGTGTTGCTTCAGTGCCCGGACTGGCGGGCTCCCTGCGAGCGTGTCGAGAAAGCTCTGTAACTCAATTGTCACGAGGACTTCCCCTGACATCGAGCGAATGTGCAACATCTGCGGCCCTTAGCATGTAGGAGTTTACCCAAGTAGTCTCTAGACGTTCCCTTTGAGCCTGGGCAAACGGGCAAGCCGGAAGACATGGATGGACAATAAGAGCTACTATACTCGCTAAAGTAAGGCCTACGACGCTTATATAATTTTATACAGGTAAAGCTGTGCTAATCAAAGGTACCTGAGGGTCCAAGTGCGGCCAGAAAGCCTCAACCCTGAACAGTAAGCCCTCAACCCCAAGATAATCTACATTGCCAACGCTACACTCTTTCTTAATTGCAAACCTCTGATCCCGGAAGCAAGGCTCCCTCAATGAGCATTTTGATAATCGATATGTTTATACCAAGGCCCTAAAGCGGTTTACAAAGAAGTTGACTTATTTATCAGGGGTGTCCATCGACCCTAAAATTCCGAGTCCGGAAACGTAAAACCATCTAAGGTTTTGGGGGAGTAATATGGTGTCTTCAGATGAAGGCACCCACAGGACTAACATGACGAGATCTTGAGGCTTCTATACTAGACCCTATAAGGCCCAAACCCTACACCCTAAACCCTATATTAGAGTAGGCTTGCGGCCTCAATCTGCATCGGATCCACCACCGGATCGTCCTGGCAAGCTGGGGTGGCTCTATGGGGTGGTGCCAGGGTTGAGGCTCTATGACATAGCGTTGGGACTGCAAGGGGATTGGGCGTTTCAGGGTTGAGGGTTTGAAATTTCGGATTTAAAAGGTAGGGGATTAGGGGTTTATGTAAACCCCACACCCCAAGGGTTTGGAGTTTGCTGGCTGAGGCTGAGGGTCGTCTATAGGGGGTTTAGGGACTGGAGATTTAAGGCTCATGACTTGGGGTTGGAGGGTTTATGCTTTCGGATTGAAGCTAGGTGGGGCGTTTTAAAGCCTTTGAACGATTATGAGTAAAGACGATCCTCTGCAGCCCATTACGGGAAAGAATAAGCTTAACTGTTGTTCCAAAGCCCTACCTAGGAAGGGCTTCGGGCCACAGGTCCCCCCAAAACGGGTCCTACCTTAAGGACGAAATGAACCCCAAAAGGGTTTAAGCTTCATATACCATTTAGGGATTCACAGTAATTATATGGGTATAGGGCCCTTACTTTTAAGGGTAATTTGGTCCTTCAGGTAGGTACTGTGATGCGGAATACTTCCCCAAATCACAAACAGGAATTGCCAATATGGAAACCCCACATTCCACTCTCCAGGTGCTTTGGACCCTTGGGGACGTTACGCACAAGACATGGTAAGGACCGCGCAGCTTTTTCAACCGATGCAGAAAATGCCCGCGCACGCAGGCGCGCGAGGAAAACTTGGTCGCTCCGGCTAATCTCTTCCGTCTGCACATTAACCCAAAAGGTCCAAGTAGAATTATGGTATATACTTATAGGGTATTTTGGGGGTCTAAGTATATACCATAATGATACTTGGACCCTTTGGGTAAGGGTCTAGGGTTTAGGGCTTCGGGTTTAGGGAATTACGACATGTTTCTGCTCGCAGTTCCAGGTTCAAACAGACACCTTGGAGATCCCTACAAACGGAGCCACAACCCAGAAAAGCAACAACGAGTTCGAACAGTATATGCAAGAGCCGCAGAGTAGATATTGGACCATTGCAGCACAACAAATTCTCACAGCAGGCTCTTGTCGAGTAAAGCGCAGCGGCGCAAGAATCATCAAGGGGCATCATATAATCGCAACCCTGGCCCCCTACGTTGCCGCCTCGAAACTAAGCACCCGATACTTCCACTCTTAACCACTCCCAACCTAAATAGTCTGTATAAATTCTAGATCCTTAACCCCTAAACCCTAAACCCTTGAACCCTAAACCCTAAACTCTAACAAGGGAACTTTCCGGAGAGGACAACCGCAGTATCATCCGAGGAGAAGCTTGCGCACCACAGCTCCTGGCATGCTCGGGTTTGAGGTTCAGGGTTTGAGGGTTGAGGGTTTAGGGTTTAGGGTTTAGGGGTTTAGGGTTTAGGATTTGAGGGTTTAGGGTTTAGGGGAGGTTCAGGGTTTGCGGGTGTATATAGGGGTTTATATAGGGGTGAAGGGATTGGGATTCCTGGACATCGGGACCCTGCTTCTTAAATCGTCCTGGAACTGGGTTTTAGGGTGTCATAGGATCTTAGCAAGGTTTCGATGAAGCTTACTACAACTCGCCTTCACAATTAAGATGAGACTTTAAGATATTCGGATAATGCTGATTATGGGGACCCGAAGGGATTCTTAAAGTCTTAGTCTAGGCTTAGTCTAGGTTCCTGAGAAGTCCCTTTATAATAAGGGTACCCTTTTCCTAATATTCAATTTTAATATGGGGGCGCGCCTAAAATGCAAAGCGCAAAAGGGTACTACACGGGAGCCTAGCTGTCAATGTCCAAACATCGACATTACGCGGGAAAGCAAGCCCAGGAACTTAAATAATGTAGGGGCCTTAATAATTAGACTAGGGTTTTTTGGGGGGTTCCTTATTATCGTGATAGTATAATATGCCCCAAACCTTATTCTAACTATTAAGGAGCCTATAGCAGTACGGTCAGTTAGGTCAGCAGAATAACCGAAGCGCTACAACTCTTAGGTCAGGTCCACCCTTCCGCACAAGCCCAAAACCCAAGGAAATAACAGTTGAAACTTTCAGAACCGACTACCTCACAAGAACCCCAAAAGTTGAAACCCTAAACCCTATACAGCCAATAAGTTCCACACAAGCAAAACAACCAACGAAGACCAGCAAACCATACAACACGATGGCTCCACTGAAACTAACTGCTTCAGGACATACTTGTTTGACATTACCCTAAGGCTCCAAAGTAGTTCCTTTTTGGCACTCATATATAGAATCCTATAAGGCAACCCCAAAAAGGAACTACTATGGAGCCTCTGGGTATTTATTTGCAACGTCAGATAAGAGACACGAGACATATCATATATCACGATATACCATAGTACGTCTTAACATGCAATCAATGTCACGATACACAAGTACTAGTGAGGTGAGGCAAACTGGAGGACTGAGGCGAAGGGCGGTAGATCATTCCACATCACACAAGACCTTGCGGCAATGTGTAGGGTTTCGGATTTAGGGAGAATGCGGCACTTGCAGCGCCCCGCCGTAGATTACAAGTGCGCGTCGAACAAGACCCGGCCACCACAACACAGTGCGAGTTGCCGTCTATTGTCCCAGAAGGGTTCTATACGAGTTCATCAGGCTCTACAGGGCTTTAGGGTTCTATAACCCTGAGGGTCCATGTACTCATATAGAGATACATGAGCCCCAAAGTACCTATGTAGGGACTACATTAAGGCCAATGTATGTACGATATGAGTACATGGACCCTTAGGGTAAGGGCTCTTTCATGATCTTCCAAGTAGACCCTATATCCAAAACCCTACACAACCCTTTGAGGAACCCTATAGATCCCTTTAAGGGGCCCTTTTAAGGAGACCTTTTAAGGAAGGTTGGGGAACAGCCAGAAAGCCGGAGCCCCTGCCTGCGGCCAGCGCGGTGCCGCCCAGCACCAGCGTGGCCCGTCGCGCGCCACGGCGTCCCAAACGCCAGATCTGTCCAGGCTTGTATCAAAGACTCCACCAATATCCCCGAAAAGAACTGCTCTAAGAAGGACTCCCGACTTTTCGAGTATCTTGGGGATCTGAAGGTTAACCTTTCAGAGTATATATTGGGATTAGATATGGATTATAGTACCCTAAACAATTAAAGGTTACCTACTCTACTACTCTAGGACTCATCTGTTAAGGCTGTTTGGAAGCTCAAGCCCTATAGATCTTCTAAAGCACCCAGACACTCCAGCTACTGGCTGTTCAAATGTCGGCCATGCAGGACGAAAGCCATAGGTTTAAAATGCCTTTCAAACCCTCTTACAGGGAACTCCAGAAAGTTGGAATATGGTTTCATGGTAGGATCCCCTATAATTTACCTTAAAGGGGTTACGATAATGATATTCCAACTTTCTGGCTTCTACTGTAACCCGAAATACTTACTAAACCCTAGATCACAAACTCTGATCGCTGAACCCATTATACCCTCATAACCAAGCAATACAAGAGGGCTTCACAAGATCGGGGATGCTCCATCCCTGCGATCTCTCCCCTAACGTCGACGCCTAGTGGCCTACGGACGTCGGGAGACTCAAGGAGAAGCCAAGGCTCTGGTAGGTGGTTTGCTTAAGTTTCCCGTAAGGTTCCGGTGTACTCCCCAGGCATCTAAGGACTCATATATTAAGGCGTTTGGGCCCAAAGACCATACTATATAAGGCTTTTCGGCTATTTTGATGCCCAGGGACTGGTGTACCCAAAGTGTACAGCATGGGCAGTTCACTATATTCGGGTCCCTTTAGGGGTCTTGTTTATAAGGGCGCCGCAGTAAAAAGGGACCCTACTTTAGAGAACTGCCCATGTATGCCCGAACCCAGGGATTCCCTAGCCGTTCCGCCTCGAGTTGGGTGCTACGGTTGATGATATAAACCCTGCATGACCCATAATAAGGAATGTACCATAATGCCCATGGTTTAGGGTCCTTAAGGTAATGCAGGATTTATAGCATCAGCCGTACCTCAATTTCGGGTGCAGATTCAGTTCGCGGGCTGCGGGCTGAAGCAACACGCAGAAATGGAGGTGGAACGATAATTGAGGTGGCACGCAGTGACCATTTGATGGGTTTACCCTAAGGCTCCAAAGTCGTTCCTTTTGGGGGTTCATATATAGAATCCTATAAGGTAATCCCAAAAAGGAACTACTATGGAGCCTCCGGGTAGTTGGAAAGCGTTTTTTTGCTTTGGGAAGGAACGTGCTAGATGCCAAATGCATGCTGCCACAGTTTCGGGTGCTGCCCGGTGCGTGGTCTGCGAGCTGAGGCAGCACGCTGTAATTGAGGTGGAACGATAGTTGAGGTGGAACGGCTAGGGAAACCCATGACCTAAAGTACCTGAATAGGGGATACATACTTTCGGGCCACAATATATGTACCATATGAGCACTATAGGCGCCTTAATACTTAGAATAGGCTTGTGGGGCATATCATACTATAATCATAATAAAGAACCCCCGCAATAGTGTTGGTACTTATTAATTAAAGCCCCTATATCAATTACCTTCTTGTCGGGTATCATGGGCAACTAAAGGTCAATTTTTTGGTTATATAGTGATTATATAGGGACTATACTACCCAAAGAAGGTTAAAGGTTGCCTACTTTACTACTAGGATTACATTGGCCATGGCAGTTCAGAGGTGTGAGGTTAACGGTTTCCCACTAGGGGCCCTCTCCCAAGATGCTCGCATAAAACCCGAGACCCACCCCCCCTAAACCCTAGACTCTAGAACGCTGTATCCTAAAACCCTATAAGGCCCTAAACCCTTAAACCCTAAATTCCTAAACCATAAAAACCCTGAAAAAAGGATGTGTGCAAATTCAATAACCCCAAGGGTCCAAGTACCTAATAGTCGTATACTCTCCAAAATCCTAAGGTCCTTTGGACCCTTGAGGTAAACATCTTTGTCTCTCTGTCGCTCTCTGCCTCGCTCTCCCTTCAGCGGCCCGAGCGGTTTAACTTAGCGTGTAGGGAGAACAGAAACGTCATCAGCTCTCCCATCGAAACAGAGCATCAGACAGAGGTAAAGCTACTGAGGTACAGTAAAGCAACCCACATCAAAACGGCCGCTTGACTTACCTAGTACATGTAGTTGTTTTGAAATGCAAGCTCGTACAAGGGCTAACACATTATGAAGGCTTGTTGAGGCGATTACAACCTTATCCCTAAGGCTCAAAATAGCCTTAGAGCCTTGTATGTATGGCCTTTGGGCCCAGAGGCCTTAATATATGAGTCCGTAGAGCCTTATTAGAGTATGTGTATATACAGCTATATACATGCGATTTTGCTGAATGACTTCAGGTTTGTAGCCAACTTACTACGTCTGTTACATGTCTATTCCTGCATTATCCGGGTACCGAACCGTGTACCCGTACAGTATATACGCTCTGGGGCTACAGCACCTCAATAGGGAATACTTTAAAGCCAATGTAGATGGGCCCTTATAGGCCTAATACCCAAATACCCGCAACACTTGTCGAATGGGTTGAAATCCCAAACTCTATTTTCTACCCTTGAACTCCAGGCAGTTAGACACAAAGCCTACAAGAGAGTGCGCTACAGGAAACTGATGCCACAGGTAACCCCAACAAGCTAACCATAAACCCATACATGCAGAATTTAAACCCTCATGAACCCCGGTGCCAACCCTGATAACCTCAGCTTAACTCTCACACTGCATAACTCTCACACCCAAACTTTAATCCTAACCCTGTATAGACCCTAATAATGACCCGATGAACCCCGAAACTTTAGCTTAGCGTAAGCCAAAGCAACCAGTGTTAATAGGGATTATCATCATCCCTGGCTCTTTAGCTCCCATAATTTCAATGGTTAATATTAGCCTTAAACCCCTAAACCCTAAGCCCTAAACTCTAAACCCCTAAACCCTAAACCCTCAACCCCTAAACCCCAAACCCTAAACCCCAAACCCTAAACCCTAAGCCCTAAGCCTCACTGTAGCTGCGCTCTGACTGCTGGATCAGCAGAAACAACGGAAGGTCGAAGAACTTGGCGGATTGTCGGTGCATGTTTGGGGTTAGGATGGGCTAGGGTTCAGGGGTTTAGGGTTTGGGGTTTGGGGTTAAGATGGGTTAGGGTTTATATAGGGTTGAATTAGGATTTAGGGTTGGGGGTTTGGGGTTAGGATGGGCTGGGGTTCAGGGTTTAATTAGGGTCTATTTGGTTTGGGGTTAGGATGGGTTAGGCTTTAGGGTTTAATTAGGGATGAGGGTTTGGGGTTTAGGATCAGGATGGGTTAGGGTTGGGGTTGGGTTTGAGGGGTCTTCTATGGGCTGTCGTGTTCTAAGTCCAGGTTTTTGGGGATTGGCAAACGAAGGCTTAAGGTTCAGGGTATACCCAAAGGCCCCAAAGTAGTTCCTTTTCGGGGGTTTATATATGGGTGGTTGTCGAAATTATGGTCCCTTTTTGGGTCCCTAATATAATACGGCACCTAAAATATTTAGGGTCCCAAGAGGGGCCCTAATTTTGACAACTACCCATATGGAATCCTATAGGGTTTCATCCCAAAATTGAACTACTATGGGGCCTCTGGGTAAGCTTCAGGTTTAGGGCAGGGAGTCGGAGTTTGTGATGCTTCCCTGGACCCTACAAAAACCTTCCTTTTTAAGGCTCCCTATGTTGAGTGCCTTATGTAAGTCCTGAAAAAGATAGGCTATTTTGGGGTTAAGGTCAAGATTACGGAAAGCTTAGACTCTTGAAACTGCTGAAAAAACGCTTGCGTGGTAGTTTGTTCAGAGATTCGGGGGGTTGCGGAAGGTCGCAAGAGCGCACATGATGCACTTGATGCTCTTCCGGGTCGTCTTCAAGGAGGCAGCGACCGTCGGTAGCCAGCGACACGAGTACATCGCTATCTCGTTGTAGCGGGCCTGACGGTCTCCGTCTACTTTCCCCGACTGGACGAAGCCGTTCTTGAGTTCTTGACAATCAACACAAAGACGGCGGGACGCCGCGCTCCAGAAGCTCAGCTTACAAACTGGTGGCATTGTGCCTCCCAGCCTTGTTGGACAAAAACCACCCAGAGGATGTTCTTTCGTCCGATCTCCCCCGGAGCCTGACTTCCGCGTCATCAAATGAGTGTCTCGGAAGCGATGATGTGCCTCCTGAGCTGCTGCAGGAGTAGCGTCTGCGACATTCGCCACACACCAATAAGTTCGGACTCCACATCTATCGCTGCTGATGCCAGGAGATTCCGGTGTCCATGCTGCTCTGCCAGCTCTGCCCGGAGTTCTGAATTAGCCCCCGGCCACGTCATTAAATGGAGCTTGGAGATTCGGGGGAATTAGGGACTTATAAGTACCATAACCCCAATTAGGGTCCCATTTAGGGTACTTATAAGTCTAGTTACTACCTACTTACTAAGTCCCCCGACCCTCCACGAGGGAGGGTTCGAATCAACCTCAGAATGGGATTCCCAGACCAGACAACCCGCTGTGGCCAAGCGGCAAGCCAACCCGGTGCTCTCTGAATCAACGGGGTCCCGACACAGAGAAGGAATAATATAGAGGCCTTAGTAATTACCTATACTATTTTGGAAGTTCCTTTTTGAAATTACAGTCTAATGGGCCCTAAAACCCATTCCAATCATTAAGGCCCCTAATGACTCTGAACCCTTATAGTGGCCCTTATAGACCCCTTTTAAAAAGTGCCCTATAAAGGCACCCCTTTTCTAAGATATTAAGGCCCTATATTCTGGACTTTGAAGTAACCAGGGACAAAAAAGTATAGACTTTTATTTCATAATGGTTCCTTTAAGGAACAGGTACCAAAAAGTATTCAAGTATGGTACTCCGATCCCAGGTATTAGATCCAAACCTCCAGACCTCAACTTGTCGTAGGGGTTACCACTCAGGTTGAAGGCTCAGTCGTGTCTCTGCTTTCGGTTTACCTGGACCCCAAATACTTTATGAAAGTCCTTAAAAGTGTAGGTTCTTCGGGGTTAAGGTAGGGTTTAGGGCTTTAGGGTTGGGTCTTAGGGTCTGGGGTTTAGAGTTGGGGTTGGCGGTTTAGGGTTTAACTAGCACGTCACGATGATCTCTTAGCCTTGACCTTGGTAGAAGCGGTCCAGAATTGATAGGAAAAAGGATTGGCCCATACAGCAGGCAAGCAACCTTGGGGACGAGCTTGTTCAAAAGGAACCTGAACCGTGGAAAGCTGCAACAGGATTTGGTTGAGGGTTTAGGGGTTGGGCTTTACCGTTTTTTTGGACGGTTTAGGTTTGGAAAAGTTGCCAAACCGAAACCTTACAATATTTTATACACTGACCTATGAATGCTCTGGAAGCTGTGGCAAGGTGTTGGAGGAGATTCATACAAAGTTTATACCCCTAAGGGTCCGAGTACCTAACTATCGTATACTCTCCAAAATAGTAACCTACACAACTACTGTCCTAAAACTACCGAGTACGCAATTATTGGGTCCTTTGGACCCTTAAGGTACTACCAAAAAACCCTAAACCCTAAACCCTTTAACCTACCAAGGAAAAACCTCTAAAATCACACCCTCAACCTGCAGGGCCAGACACCCAACTCAGCTCCAAAAGTATCCCGAAGCCATACATGGGCTGTGCTTCGTACATTTCAGGCAATGTCCTTAAGTGCCACCTTGCCGACCCTTACTTAAACCCCTATCGGAAAACATGGTGCAAAGGTTTAGGGTTTACCTGGACCCTAAAGAACCTACCTTTTTAGGGTTCCTTATTATGATTTCCTTCTATTACCGGGATAAGGGCCTACTTGGAGGATCATGGGACTTAGTACGTAAGGTAATAAGTACCTTGATCGGGGATATAAGCAGGTATAAGTATAGTTACCTTATTTATAACCTTACTTACTAAGTCCCATAATAATAATACTCCAAGTAGGGCTAGGCAAAAGCTGCAAACCAAACGACCCTCAAAAGAGTTTAGGGTTTAGGCTTGCAGGTTTCAATACGGTCAACACAACTTGGTAGATTGAATCCCTAGATAGCAATTGAAATGAACCTTTTGGGGCACATTTCGTTTTTAAGGAAGATTATGGCTATATGGGAGTTTCCGAAACTAGGGGACCCTAATATAGTACCCTAAATAGTAGAATCCTGATTACGAGGACCAATAAGGCACCCCTAATTTTCGGAAAACTCTGAACCCTCATAGAGCCCCTTTACAGGAACCCTTATAGTGCCCTTATAGTAACCCTTTAAAGGAACCCTAAAGTACCCCTGACCGGGCCCAAAAAAACTACAAACTTTCTACACTAGACAAAATATACTAGCCCAAAAAGTTTAAAGTTCTCCCATTGGCTGTCTAAGAATTGTCGGAAACTCCCATAGTGCCCCGAACAAATCACTCTCTGGGTGCCTCGGTAGCGCCTGCCTTTGTGCAACCCACAAATTGCGCTCTCTCGTGTGTGGGTTCCTTTAAAGGGTATCTTTACCTGGACCCTGAGGAACCTACCCTTTTAGGGTTCCCTAACATGATTTCTTTATTTAAGTCCTTAAAAAGGTAGGATCTACAGGGTTTAAGGTTCCTTCAAAAGGGTACCCTTTCAGGGTTCCTTTCAGGAATCTAGGGGTTTAGGGGTTACCTCAAGCCTGAAGGACCTACCCTTTTAAAGACTTTTATAAGAAGATCCTAATTAGGAACCGTGAAAAGGTGGGTTATTCAGGGTTAAGGTAGGGTTTAGGGGTTAGGGTTTAGGGCTTAGAGGGTTTACAGGGCTTATGGGGTTTATAGGGTCTATAGGGTTGAGTGCTTAGGGTTTCAACATGTTCATGAGCTTGTTGGGCCGCTAAATTCAAGGAAAATACTTAGGCTCACTAACCGGCCTTTTCAGCAAGGACCACAACTGGAAACAGGTAGTTGTAACTTCCGCTGCCCGGCGTACGCTAAACCTTACAAATCGAAGTCCTCAAGTTGCATGTGGTGAGGAGCCCAAAAGCAAACCTGAACACAAACTTTCACAGGCAGCATCCGTACAAGGGGCTAGATTCAGATAAGCTATGTTTACGTTCCTTTCGTGGCCCCAGATGGACCCCAAACAACCTACCTGTTGATTGAAGGACTTATAAACGGAAACCATATTGGGGACCCTAAAAAACTATGTTTTTCGGGGTCCACCAGATGATGCACGCAAGAAGCCGCGTCAGGAAGGAGATGTTCCACAAGCGTCCGCGCCAGGGGGCTTGGCTATACCTTGACTAGACCCAGGACTAGGAATAAAAAGGGGTGCCCTTTTTGGCTTCAAGGGACTTATAAGGGCACCTGAACCCCAAAAAAGGGAATAAGGGCCTACTCTGAATCCTAGTTAATGTACATTATAGGAGATCAGCAGTCAACCTAAGTCGGCTTTAGGGTTCCTTTTAGGGATCTATAGAGTTCTGTAAGGGGTTTCGGGTTTTGGGGCCTAAGTCGGACGCGACTAAGCTTATATATGGTTTTAGGCGTAGGGTACCGTAACCACAGTTTGGGATAATGTTACAGTTTCTGATGGACATACACATCCCCTGACACGAAACCCCGTCGTAAACCCTCGTAGCAGGCCCTATAATATCGGCCCCAGAGAGACGACCTACTCATTGAACCAAGTGATCCTTGAAGTGCAGCTTCGAGATGTGTACAGCATTGGGGAACAGAGTCTCAGGCGCGGCATTCTGTGCCGTGACGAAACAGGGGTTTAGGGTTTAGGGTTTAGGGTTTAGGGTTTAGGGTTTAGGGTTTAGGGTTTAGGGTTTAGGGTTTAGGGTTTAGGGTTTAGGGTTCAGGGCAAGGGTCAAACTGGCTCAAAGTGAATAGCTTTCTATGCGGCCTACACTAAGACGCAAACAAGACGGTGAGGAACAACACAATTGCACAACCTTACCAAGACCGCGACAAGGCCTAGTCACCGGTGACTCGGACGACGTTCTCGCTCGGGTCTGTGAGGAATCCACAGCTCACTGACTTCTTTAACCCTAAGGCTCAAAATGGCCCAAAAGCCTTATATAGTATGGTCTTTAGGCCCAAAAGCCTTAAAATATGAGTCCTTAGAGCCTTAGGATTAGGGTAATTGTCTCCCTATGGCTCCCACTGACTTCTTGAATTGAAGGTTCGACGAAGCACGCTTGTGGGGTGCTTTCTCCGCGGAGGGAAGTTCATAAAGGCTCTACCGAGTAGGCTAAGCAAGACCTTTCAATGCTCAGAACCGTTTTAATTGGTAGAAGGACATTACGTAGCCTGTTGGATCAAAAGAACTTGCGAGCGATGTAGACCGATGATTGAATCCAATGCCCTTTTTTAAAGGGCCTTAACCTTTGGATCGCTATACCAATCCTGACTAGAGTGAGGCAAGGCCCCACAGCTTTCGCACGTGTACATATTGTACACACCAAATTCAGTATTCTACCGTGAAAGGACTTGGAACCCTAGACTAGCATCAACTCACACACAGACAACAACCGGCGATTACAAATAGCTTCGCAAAGCCTTTGTACTGGACTCTCATGCAATGTAAGTAGTTACGGATACATGAAATCTGATATCTGGTAATGCAAAACAGTGACTAGCCAATTGGATCATTATGAACTACTTCTGTGCATGATCTATAAATCCTGCATTACCTTAAGGACCCTAAACTATGGGAATTCTGGTATATTCCTTATTATGGGTAATGCAGGATTTATATCATCAACCGCTGCAACAGCCCCTGAAAGAGCGAGGAGCCGATGGTATTAACTAAGCCCCGTTCTTCAAGCAGACATCAGTCCGAAGCGTCTTGGGAAATGTCCACCCCTACGTAATACAAGGGACTTGAGATACACTATGGTGCACATATATTCGAGACTGCAATGGGGCAGCAGTGCTAAACATTCGGACCCCTGTAGTGTTCACGGACAAAGAAGCGAAGAAAGCGAACCTGTGAAGAACTCACATAGAACGTTGGTAATGCTGGCAATGAAGGCGTCGGCTTCAAAACACAACAGGCTACACATGTCAAGAGGTAAAAGCTAAGGCTTTCTACAAGTGCGGAAAAGCTTGTCATGCTGCACAATGAAGTTGATGACAGTAAAACAATGTCAACAAGACGGGCAATAATCACACAAGATCGGCCGATGAATGTGTAAAAAACCAGTTGAGTTGCGCACTAACGAAGTTGTTCGAAATATATAGCTGAAATGGCATTGAATCTGTTTCCTTGCAGCTTTGATAGGCTCGAACTGCTTTTTCATCTCAACGACATCTACTGTAAGCCAGTGCTGAATCGGCTGTTTAGCAACACTTCAAACAGCATCATATGGCAGTCTCTTCCAAATACTCGGACTATAATCACCCTAAACCCTCAACCCTAAATCCTAAACCCTAAATCCGAAAACCCTGAACCGTAAATCCCAAACCCTAAACCCTAAATCCTAAATTACTAAACCCTAAACCCTGAACCCTAAATCCTAAGCCGCGTGACCAGAGGGTCACGAAGGCAGCTTAGGGTCTAGAGCTGGTTTTCTAAGTGGTGAAGGATGCTCACGGTTTAGGGTTTAGGGTTTTGGGGGGTTTAGGGTTTTAGGGTTTCGGGGTTTAGGGTTTTAGGGTTTGGGTTTTTAGGTTTGAGGGTTTAGGGTGAAGGATGCCATCGTATACTGCTTGAAGGCACAGGGCCCTAAACCCTTAACCCCCAAACTCGGAATTACTAAACTCCGAAGACTCAAACCCGAAACCCTGAACCCCTGGACTGCGGAACCCTCCACCTCTAATATAGGGGCCTCAATACTTACCGATACTACTTTGGGGGGCTCCTTATTATAATTATAGTATAACATAGCCCCAAAACCCTATTCTAATTATTAAAGCCCCTATACTACAGTACCCTTATAGATATCCCTTTAAAGGAGCCCTTCAAAGGAACCTCTCTTCCAAGTATTAAGGCCCCTATAGTAGGTGCCAGGCAGTCGCCAAGCCCTCCGCCCCTATGACCTCCACCCAAGGTCTGCCGAGAGGCTGGAAAGGAGCAGCGACCTGGACGATGTCGATGAGAGCTCTCACCTGTGGATCCCAAAACCTACCGTTTTCAGGGTTAGACCCTCCAGATCCAAAAACCTACCGTTTTAAGGGTGTGACCCTCTAATTAAGGGGTCATAACCTTCTATTTTGTAGGGTTTGGGGATACAGGCACCTGTTCGGTTTCAGCAACTCCGGTTTTTTTGTTGAACTCCTTTTCTCCCAGTTGCGGCAGGTCCGCTACGCCGCAACTCCGGGTTTAGGGTTTTAGGGTTTAGCAGTTCCTTCAAGGTAGCTAGATTCCGGTTCCCAGCAACGGTTGTAGAAGGGTTGCCTTCAGCATTCTGCATGGGTTCATAAGTATTTTCCAATTCAGAACCTCCGAAAAGTTCGAAGAAGATAAGCGCAAACCCTGCATCCTAAACCTTCACAGAACCCTTCATGGAAATACCTAACCTTAATCTCCTGTAAACCCTTACACTTGGGTACTTCTTTAAGGAACCCCCAACAGAACCCCTTTGTCAGCCCTTATGGAAACCGCAGTAGATAACTTAGACCCGAAGCCCCCGTAGATCCCTTATAGACCCCTTAAGGAGCCCTTACAGAAACCCGTAAGCAGCCCTTTCAGAAACCCCTTAAGGAGCCCTTTAAGAAATCCTTTGAGCCCTGTGAAAAGGGTACTACTAAGGAACCTGATGTTATTGGGGCCTTTGTAATTGGAATAGAGTTTTGGAGGCATACTATACTATAACTGTTCGTGGGCTCCCTAGAACATAGTACAGGTAATTGTTAAGGCCGCTATGTTATAGAACCCTATTCTGAATCTCTTATGGAACCCTTTAAGGATCCCTTCGAAGGAACCCTTCGAAGGAACCCATTAAATATTAAGGGCCCCTATATGGGTAGTTGTCGAAATTATGGCCCCTTTGTGGGTACCCTAATTATTAGGTGCCGTACTATATTAGGGACCCAAAACGGGACCATAATTTTGACAACCACCCATGTCACCTATGTGTATAAAGGAACGTGGTCGAGCTACCCTCTGACGCCCTCTCTGGTCTAGGGATTCCGTTTGGGGCTACTTCCAGGAGTCCCTTGTATGTGTATACGTAGACCCTAAACCCTATATCCCCTGTTATTAGACTTCTGGACTTTGAAGCAACCAGGGAGAAAAAATATAGATTTATGTTTCATAATGGTTCCTTTGAGGAACAGGTACCAAAAAACAATATTCTAGTATGGCACTCCAAACACAACTAATTAAAACTTATCGGGACAACTGAGGTAAGACCTCTAAGCCCTGAACCCTGTAGAACCCTTAAGCGCCTAAGCCCTTTTCAAGCCCTATATCCCTAAGCCCTAAACCCTATATCCCCTATATATATATATATATATATATATATTTATTTATCTATTTATTTATACTTTGAGATTAATTACTAGACTTTGAGGAGTCCAGGCACATCTGGCATGCGGGCATCCTCGTAGGCTCTTGCTGCGCTCCGCGTCGCCCCTCTGCCTGCGGCAAGAGTTCCTGGGGTTTGGGGTCTTCCGGTTTTGGGGTTTTGGGGTCCAGGGTTTTGGGGTTTAGGGTTTTGGGGTCTTAAGCTAGAATGCCCAGTAACTTAGGAATAAAAAGGGCGCCCTTTTTGGTATTGGGTACCTTCATTATTAACCTAGGACTACAAAAAGGGAATAAGGGTACTACTGGGTATCCTAGTAAGGTTTTGGGGTTTTGGGATCTAAGGTTTTGGGGTTTTAGGCTTTAGGGTTCAGGCTGTAGGGTTCAGGGTTTACAGGCTAGTATAGGCTTCTCTACGGGGCTTCCGGACGTCAGAGCTCACGCGGCCTACTCAAACGGATACTCCACGACTAAAGGAAAGGCAATGTACGTAAACCTCTGACTGATAATTGACACCCTTCCCGTAATGAGGATGATGCTACTTGGAGGGTCGGGGGACTTAGTAACTGGTAATTTTAGGGACTTATAAGTACCATACCCCCAATCAGGGTCCCTTTTAGGGTACTTATAAGTCTACTTACTACCTACTTACTAAGTCCCCCGACCCTCCAAGTAAGGACCCTAATTTCAGGCCCTGAAAGACAGAGAGGTTTGATTGATCACGGGTCTACACTCACACTGAGACTAAACCCCAAATTCCCGAAACTCCTGAACCTTAAACACCTTAACCCACAAAACCCACCTTGCTCCCACTCTCAATTCATGTAGACTTCAGATTCTCAAACAACTCGAACCTATAAGCCCCACCTCAGAAAAGGCGGAGAGTGATGAGAGTGAGAGTATTTCTTAGCACTCATGAAGGCAATAACCCTCTGGCGAGCTCTCCTTTCTGCCTTCAAACCCCGGTACATAGCACGGCCAATGCGCATCGCTTGGTCCATGACGACGCCCACAAAATATGGGTCAGCTTGGGTGTAAGTTTGATCTCGTCTCTGTCATTCGTCTTGAATCAAAAAATACGGAGTCTCGTGGGGCGTTGCCATGCATCCTGCATAAAGCCAACCCCATCAGTCCCCGGTAGATGTCAGCCAGCTAGCTACCGATAGGAGTTTTCTTGAATGTCGGGCTTTCTGGTGTATCGATGGCTTTCCACATATCACGGGTGCCCCGTGACGTGATCCACTCGTCCAAGACTGCCTTCAAGTCTGCGACCCCAGTTGCCCGGCTCACCACAAGTCGCCCGGATTGTGTCGTGAGAGGCACCCCGACCTTCCACAATCCCTTAATTAAAGGATATACCTCAAAACATACTAGGATCCCTACTATGAATTAAGGCATATTCCTTAATGAAAGGATTTTGGAAGGTGTGGGCATGCAGCATGCTGCAACAGCAGGGCAACTGTACAAGTGAAACGGGAGCGGGGACGGCAACAAAGTGCAACCCTTCAGTTCTATAGAGGATATTACTATCCCCAATAGTGTGAAGTTTTACATGAAGCCTTTGAAAGGAAGGTCTGCTGGTACCCCGAGAGGGGCTTCAATGCCGGGATCCAGGTGAAAGGGTGCAGGTGTGCTAATTTTGCAACTCATGTCGTCCTTGTCATACCCCCCTTTTCAAGAGGCTGCAGATCCACAATAATTAAGTATCTCATGAACCTAAACCCTAACCCCTACACGAACCGAAGGTAACCCAAAGCCCCCCCCGCGCCGGCAGTGTCGAGGCATCTCGCAAGCACCGTGACATCCTCCAAGGCGCTGTTAACACCTTCGATCAGGGTTTAGGGTTTAGGGTGTTCCAATGAAAGTTCTAGATTAGCACTTTAGGATACAATTCGAAGGTTCGGTTTGATCAATGAATCAATAAGCAACGCTATCTGTTATGATTAAGGTAACTACACTGAAAATGTTACAGATGGAACTGTGGCCGTGTAACCCTAAGCAAGTTGCACAACATCGCGTTGCCGAGGATCTCAAGCTTAAGGTACAGGTGCTTGGGAGTTGGCGATTGAGGACTGAAACCTTCAGCGTTTGCAGCCTCTGTTGGGTTGGGGCTTTCGGTGTACAGGGGTTCAGGCTTCACAATCAAGCTTGGAGTTGCGGGATTTGGGCTAACCCCAATTTGCACAGAGTTCTTTGCTATAAACATGTTGAGGAACACGTAAGTATATTGCCCACATTCCAAGGATTTTGAATAAGATCTATAGCATGTCCGGAGACTCTTTCCACCGTCCGCTGCTATTAGAGGGCTTTGTCGAGGTTCTACGAGGTGCTATGAGGACTGTAAAAGTTTGTAACGTTTTACCGGGTTTTAGCAGTGGCTGCTGACACTTGAAGTGAAAAAATCTCAAATCCTCAAATCATATTTGGGTTCATGCACAAGCACCCCCCCATGGTTGGAGCAGATGGAACCATTTTGAGTTTCTGGTTCGGGGTTTACAGATACAAGTCTGGGAGGTTTCAATGTACTTATGCAACCAGAATCTGCGTCGAATGCTCAAGACTCAATAATTGTTTTAGACCATGCAAAACTAGAAGAAACCCCGTTGCAAAGCCTTGGCCGACCTTGAAACACTGAACCCGAAATCTTGAACATTAGGTCGTGAACCCCAATGCATAAACATGGGACCGTGAAACCCATTGCCCCTGTTGATCCGAAGCTCCCTGACCAATGTCTGGTGGTAGCGAATGTAGCGAGTCGCCAATCCTGTGGGTCATGAAAACAAAAGTTCGTGGTCTAGTTTTAGGGATAAAGGGTTTAAGGTTCTGCACGAACCACACTATGAGTCTATGAGTTTCTTATCTTCAAGACGCAATCGAATAATTTTGCATCGGTGCTTCATGCGTAAAAAGCTAACGTCTGCGGTAACGAGCTTGACCGCTGGTAGCTTGCTATGTCTTAAGATCCCTCTGAATTTCCGCATCCCAAGATTCCCAAGATGCCCATGGGTTTCGAGAACAGGCTACCAATCTGTATACAAATGTCGGACTCCTCATGATCTCGCAACCACACACCTTTTCAATCAATCAAAAAGTATCGTTATGGTTACCAATATTTGGATACTCAACTGCTGAGTGTCCAAACAACTTGCAATAACTTGCAACCAAAGACGCGTGGTGGTAGTATTAATCGCAGCAGCAGCAGCAGGAGTATTAGTAGTAGGTAGCAGTAAGTAGTAATAAGTAGTAGTAGTAGTAGTAGTAGTAGTAGTAGTAGTAGTAGTAGTAGTAGTAGTAGTAGTAGTAGTAGTAGTAGTAGTATGTCATTTGTAGTAGTGACATACTAGTTGTTGTTGTTGGTGGTGTGGTTGTAGCTGCAACAGCAGCAGTTGTACTAAGCGTTCTTGCTAGGCTGAACACACGTAAGCACATGCAATGTTTTGCAAATATACGATAGACCGGTATCTGATACAACTTATTGTCGGATTCCCGGGCTTGGCTGTGAGGTTTGAGGTGCCGGGCGCAAGGGTTTTGGGGTGTAAGTTCAACGTATTATACAGCTTGAACCTTTGAGCACCGTTTGGGCTTCGGAATAATATGGTTATGGGATACATACGGCTCCTGAGCGCCACATTTGACGTGCCGGGAGTATCGAGTCGTTAGTGAAATCTGAAAAACATGCAGTGCCACTGTGCAGCCAACATCACCACTGTAGTGTATTTACATTGGTGTTCAGTTTACATTCCGGATTGACATGGAGGTTATGAGAATGGCACATGTTGGGTCTGTTCTAGCTTGCAATCAGTTCCGTTGAGAGTGGTTCGGATTGCGCAATGGAAACCACTACAAGCATGTAAGTTGATGAAAGTGCATGTGGAACCTCAAAGATCCCGTCGAACCCTTCGTTCCTAGTCACAAGAATGGAGTTTTACGCGGCAACACATGTCAACACAGCAGAGTGTTCTTGCAATCGCTACGACTGTGCATCATACAATTCACGTGTTGGAGCTTCTGCAAACCGATCATCTGCAACTCTACATGCTCGCTTGCCGGCGAGAGTCTAACACGCAGGCATATGGGCACGTTTTACTGGGCTTTTTACGTGACCAGGGGTATGGTACTCCGAAGCCCAATCTAAAGCTAAGCCTAAACCTCTAAACCCTAAACCCCTAAACCGTACATAAGGTTTAGGATTTAGGGTTATTTCATCTCAACTCGCAGGTCTTCAAAGGTGTCGGCACGTGGGGTTTGAGAGCTTATGATTTAAAGCCTTCGACTTCTTTCTTCTTCAACAACCGGGCCAAAAGATCAATCTTTTTGCCGTAGACCAATCAGATAAAGCCAAAACGCTAAAAGTTCTCCCAGAAGCCATCTGAGACTCATGGATTTTAGGATCTGGGGATCTGGGGTTCATGCAGGGCTTCGAAGCGAAAGCGGGCGCTTGGACCGATCATCATAGCCGCCACTGCATCTTGCAGCTCTCTCAGACAGCCAAAGCCGTACATCCCTACCTGAAGCCCTAAGCCCCGTAACCCTGAACCCTGTCAACCCTATTCCCCCACCCCCCAGCCAAAGGCGTACAACCCTACCTGCCCTACCTGAAGCCCCAAACGGCTTAACCCTAAGTCCTGTAAACCCTACTCCCCCTCCCCACCCTAAACCTTAAACCCTAAACCCTAAACCCCAACCCCAAGCCTAAACTGCAGCATCTATGCAGTCCCTGACTTGACGATGCGAGGAAGTCCAGGGCTAATCAATTTTGGTCTGTAGGCTTTCGCGTGTTGGGTTTACCCGAAACATCTGCATCACCTTGGGAGAGTCCCCTACTTGTCGGGTATCATGGGGAACTTAAGGTTAACCTTTTCGGTTATATAGGGATTATATAGGGACTATACTATATACTTACTCCAGAAAAGGTTCTACTACGGTCCAGAATCTCCGAATGAGAACCGCAGGGGGTCCCAGCAGTCCCAGTGATGAGGGTCCCCTACTTAAACTGGACTTTGAAGTAGCCAGGGAGAAAGAAGTATAGACTTTTGTTTCATAATGGTTCGTTTTAAAGGACAGGTAGCAAAAGAAGTATTCAAGTATGGTAATTACTCCAAACCCAGGTAAAACTTGTCAGGACAACTGAGGTAAGACCTCTAAGCCCTAAACCCTGCAGAACCCTTAACACCTAAACCCTAAGCCCTAATCCCTATAGATCCCTTAAGCGACCCTTAAAGCAACCCTTAAAGTAGAAGCCAGAAAGTTGGAACACCATTACCCTCATGCCCTTAAGGTAAAGTATAAGGGATCCTAGCACTAATCCTCCTAAAGTCATGTTCCAACTTTCTGGCTTCTACTATAGAGGAACCCTACGCCGCCCCCGAGATCTGAGCCTCAACCCCTGACGTTTTGAACCACCATGGAGCTTATTGCTCTTAGGGTTTAGGGTTTAAAAGGCTTAGGGTTTAGGGGCTTAGGGTTTTAGGAGCTTAGGGTTTAGGGGTTTAGGAATTTGGGGGGTTAGAGTTTTGTTTTAGGGCTTAGGGGCTCAGGGTTTTAGGGGTTTGGGGGGTTGGGTTCAGGGCTTTCGCAAAAGATCCATGTACCCAAATAGGGGTCCTTTAAGTGTGGCATAAGGATTCCTTTTAAGGGATCTAGAATAAGGGTTCTATAAGGGTTTAGGGTATAAGGGTCCCTTTACCCCTACAGCATATTATGCTTTGGCTCCGAAATACCAATTTTAAGGCCTGGGTAGATGCTATTTGGGCACATGGATCCTTAGAGTGATAGCTACCGGATATCGAAGGGGAAAAGGAGGGACCCTTAATGAGGACCCCTACACTATAATGGGCTATAATAATGGGTATATAATAGGCCTAATGCGTATTGAGGGGATAATGGAAGGTCTGGGTAGAGAAGGGGTTTGCAAATGATTGAAGCTTTGGTGTTTATTTCTGAGCGCTCAGCGCTTAGGGTTTAGGGTTGATCTGCTTATGGGTTCGAGCTTTAGAGTTTAAGTGGCCCGATTACTTGGACCCTTGCTGTCTCAAGGGGGTGGGATTGAGACGTATGTTCGTGTAGGCTTGGAGTTTGCTAGGGTTGAGGCAGGAGGGGTTATGAATTCACGGTCGCTATACTCCAAGGGGAAAAGGAGGGACCTTTAATAAGGACCCTAGGGCTTAATTCACATTAGGAGAACTATTGGTATATTTTAGAAGCTGCCCCCACCCTGTAATAGTGGTATAATGGGAATATGATAGGGCTTACAGGGTTGGGGCAGCTTCTATAAGGTATATTCCTTGATGAAGGCCGAGACGCAAGACTGCAGCGCCGTGATCGCTGTCGTCTGGTAGCCTCGGCCCAGCCCCAAACCTAAACCCTAAACCCTAAATCCTAAAACCCTGAATCCTAAAACCCTAAAGGCCCTTAAAACCTAAACCCTGAAAATACATAGAAGACTAGGATCCGCCTATCCAAGGGCTCAGAAAAAGAAACACTTTGAACTAAATATCATACCTGAAAAGAATCCATCCAGGAGCCCTCTGTGTACGAAGGAATGTTACGTATGGGTAAGTTTAGGGTTTAGGGCCTTTTTTTCGTAGATAGCGGTCAAAACCAAGCCAAAATGCCTGTTGTAGGAACATGGAGTGAGACAGCGCATTGCTCTTCCCACTCACAGAGACGGAGAAGAGACCGGTTTAGGGGTTTGGGGGTTTAGAGAACAGCAGGCAACTGCAAAGTAAAGTTAAGCCCGTAACCCTGACCTCTTAACCCTAAGGCTAAACCCTAGACCTAGCTAACTAGATCCCTAATCCAACATAGAATGTTCACCTCTCAACCCTAACTAAGGCTAAACCCAAAACCTAAATCCCTAACCGTTAATCAGCATCAGTCTGAAATCCGAAACACCTCAACCCAGAAACGCTTGCAGTTCGCGTTTCGCAGGCCTTCTTGCTACCCGTAAGAGAGGTCTCGTAGTCATTCGTAATATTCAGGGGTTTAGCGCTGGGGGTTTAGTTTTCGGGGTTTGGGGTTTAGCGTTTTCGGTTTAGGGTTTATACGTCAACAGTTGTAATTAGTGGGCATTTTAGCTATGAAAGTGTGTGGTTGCTTCAGGGCTTGACCTTCAGGGTGTAGGGTGTTTGGCATTTCAATTCTTCGGGACCTTACACCCAAACACCCAAAACCCTCTACAACCCATACTGGAACCCTTGTGGATCCATTAAAGGAGCCGTAAAACTCTGAGATCCCACACTCACAAAAGGCGGGTAGCCACATGGCACTGCGACAGTGCTGTGGCTTTGGGAACCTGCCGCCACCTCGTTGGGTGGAACGAGTAGGGTTTAGGTAGGGTTTAGGGTCCCCCGTAAGGCATCTGTAAGTCTATAAGGGTTTGGTTTAAAGGCCTTGATAGCTGGAATCGTGTGCGTGAAACGGGTTCTTTTTGAGGGATCGCCAAAGGCGGTTTAATTAAGGGTTTAGTATAGGGAAATACACCATAAAACTACTACTCCGTTTAAAAAGGTTCCTATTAAGGAATTTCTAAGGGTGACCTAACGGTTTAGTATACGTGCCTGAAGATTGAAACAGGTTCCTTTGAAAGGGTTCCTTTTGAAAGGGTTATTATACAGTTATGGCATAGTGGCCCACAAGAACAAAACAGGATTTTGGTGCATCTTTTAGTATCTTTCTGTGAGGGAACCCCAAAGAATGATATTCTACTATAGTTCATGAACGAACCCTAATGTATCGACAGTGTTCTTTAGGGTTCCCTGTCATAGGCTGTTATAGGCATACCACAGCATACCGAATATCCAAGTTTCAATATTTCGGACCCTAGAACAAACCCTTCAAGTAGCCATTGCAAGGACCTTTCATTGAGCCGTGCTAATGGAACTCTACCTCCAGCTGTTGGGAGCCCAACGTTAACGTGGGAGTTGCCGGGCTCCTAGGGGTTTAGACTTTTTGGCTTAACTAACCAGTGGTTTTGGGGGTTCTCTTGGCTCTTTAGCTCCTTATTTAATAGGGATTATCATCATCCCTGGCTCCTTAGCTCCCATAATATCAATGGTTAGTTAAGGGTTGAGGGTTTGGGGTCTGCAGTTTTTGGCTTAGGGCTTTGGCGTTTAATATTGCTAACGGCTGAGGGCTAAGGCAACTTCCAGTTCGCAGCTGATTCCACGGTTTTCTCGTCTGTGGTTTTGTCAGGGTTGAAAACGCGTCTTGACAAGGGTTACCCAGAGAGCCCAATACCCCCTTAATTAAGGAATAGAGCTTAAATCATAATATGAAGGCCCTTATAGTTTAAGCCATATTCCTTAATTAAGGGGTAATTAGTGGGCTCTCTGGGTAGACTTGGTTGGAGTACTTGTGATCCTTGTGCAATCTTCAGAAGAGTTCCAGAGCGCAGTCTGCTCAGAGACCCGCTTCTCTGAGTCCGCCCAGACCGTCCAAAATCCCTTAATTAAGGAATATACCTTAAACTATAAGAGGATCCCTAAAATGAATTAAGGTATATTCCTTAATTACGGGATTTTGGAAGGTCTGGGCGTATTTATATCAGGATTTTTTAAAGGTCCCTATGCTCATATAGCATGTAAGTACCTGGGCCCCAATAAGTAGGGACTACACTAAGGCCAAGGTATATACTAATTGTATGAGTACATGGACCATTAGTCTTACGGCTTGTCAGTGCCCTAAACCCTAAACCCTAAACCCTAAACCCTAAACCCTAAACCCTAAACCGAATCTGGCTTCAGTGTGTCTTTAACTCCCAGCCCCAAGCCCTCTACCGAGGTTCGGTCTTGTAGGGTGTACTTGGAGGCCCTGTTGACTTAGTAAGTCTACTTAGTATCCCCTAGAAACCCTATTATAATCCCCATAACCCACCTTACTAACCCTACTTACTAAGTCAAAAGGGCCTCCAAGTAGGGTTCAGCGCCTTCTTTTAGTTTAGGGCGCAAGACCTCACCTGAAGGAATCTGCGCAGAGCATCATTGCAGGCCGAGCTACGATTCTGCGCGAACCGTGTAAGTTCCTCTTCAAGAATCGAAGCAGCCGTTGCACGGGGCGGTTTACGGTAAAAGGTTATGGGCTTATAGGGCCTTTCTATGCCGTATACCCACCGCTAAAATACCCTGAAACCCTAAACCATATAGGGCTTCGGGTTTTAGGTGGGTGTTGCAGAGTTTAGGTGCGTAGCCCTACGGAAGGCTCCAAACAAGCAGGTACCGACATGGGCTTCCGAAATCCCCTCAAAACAAAATGATCTAGTGGCCTGAGTTCCAGAATAGGGTTCGGGGGTTCCATATTATAGTTCCAGTTGTATTATACCCCACAGCTCTATTCTCCACAAAACCACTCGGAGCTCCTCTTCGGAGACCAACTCCTCGAGCGGAAAATGTGGCCATTGCTCTTGCGCATAGGCCTCGCTTTAGGGTTTAAGGGCTCAGGGCTTGGGATTTAGGGCTTACCTTAACCCTGAATAGGGTTCCTTATTATGATTTCCTTATATAAGTCCTTAAAAGGGTAATTTATTCAGGGTTGAGGTGGGGTTTAGGGCTTGAGGTTTTTGGTCCGCAGGGTCGGAGTTTCTCTCAAGTCTTGCCTTGGAGGGTTCTGCAAGGCTTCCTGGAAAAGGCATAAACTAAGAGTAATCTAGGAATAAAAATGGTGCGCTTTTGGTGTCAAGGGGCTTAGAAGGGAACCTGAACCCAAAAAAAAGGCAATAAGGGCCCACTCTAGGTCCCAGACAGAGTTCTTCTCGAGGGTTCTATAGCTGCTCTGTTAAAGAGCTCTAGAAGGCGAGTTCCTCGCAAGGGGACTCTATTCTAGAACCCCGTACTGCCCCTAAAGGGGACTCTATTAAAGAACCCTAGATTACATTACCCTTTACCGTTTCCTTGACAGGCGCTCCTTTAAAGGTTCCGTTAAAGGGCTGCTTGGGATTGCAACGATCGTGCTTGTGGTCTTCTGCGCTCTTCTCTGTTTTTAGGTAATTAACCCTAAGGACCATGCACCCAAATAGTATATACTTAGGCCTCAAAGCAGTCCCTATATTGGTACTTTGGGGCTGGGTACATGGATCTTTTGGGAAAGGGTGGTCTGTGGTTCGTGTGACTCTTTGTTGGTGTTCAAGGATGAGGGCCATAATTGGGGTCTGAAGTGAACCCTAGAAAGTTGGAACATGGATTTAGGATGATTAGTGCTGGGATTCCCTGACTTTACATTAAGGGCATGAGGATGATGATGTTCCAACTTTCTGATTTCTACTATAGCGCTTTAGGCTTCTAGGATTCTGGAGTGATATAGCAGGGTGTTAGGGCTTGAGTTCTTCAGGGAGTCTGGAGGGTTCCTTGACAGGGTTCTCGTGAAGACTTCTGCGTGAGGGGTTACAGGAATAAGGCTTTAGGGCTTGACTTAAGGGTTCAACATTTAACGAGATAGGCACTAGGACTTCGGGGTTTTAGGACTTTGGGGTTAAAGGACTTCGGGATTTAGGGTCCTACACCAGGGGCAGGTTTCTCAGGGTCCTGGTAGGCCCTAATGCCTTGACCCTAAAAAAGGGGCCTTCATAATTAGAATAGGGTGTTGGGGCCCATTATACTATAATCATGATAAGGAATCCCCAAAATAGTGTTGGTAAATATGAAGGCCCCTGTATTAAACCCTACATGCTACCAACACCTCCTCAAGTACCCTTAAAAAGAGCCCTTATGGTCCTTAATAGTGGGTATTTAAGGTATAACTGAGGGTAGTTGGGGGGTGCTGGTAAACCCTAAACCCTCCTAGACCCTACCTAGAGGCGCATGCGCTGCCCCTTTTTCTGTATACCTAGTTTTATGGTTAGTGTCTGTTATATACAAAAGTAGATACCCTGAAAAAGGAGCAGGGTATGAGCCTGCAGGTAGACCCTAAACAGTAGACCCTAAACCCCAGACCTTAAACGTATAAAGCCCCAAAGCATCCAAAAACCAAGGCCTTGAAACTCTCCAAAGTGTCGGCCTCCCAAACCACCTGGAGGGGAACAACGTGGTATTTCGGGGGTTTTCAGAGTTCGAGGTTCAGGGTTTTAGGGTGTTAAAGGGTTGTTTCGGTGATAGAGCTTAGATTTTAAGGTTCAGGTTCTGGCTTAGGTTTAGGCTTGGGGTTTCTACCGCTTTTATCGGGGTCTGTCGCGACTTTAGGCTTCCAGGAGTTTAGGATTTATGCGGTGAGGATTCTGAAGTTTGAGCTTTAGTGTTGATTGCTGAGGGGTCCCACCAACCCTGCAGCCCTAAACCCTGAACCTGCAAGCCTCTTAGACTCTGAGCCAAAAACCTACGCCGCCGAAGGGATTTAACGTTTTGGGATTTGGGATTGGGCTGTCCAGCGCTTAGGAGTTGCCTACGCGCCGCCCCAACCCGATAAATCGAGCATGCTTCATGCCAATGGTCACAAAGCAAATATTGTGTTCTACAACCAAGAGGGTCCATATACTCTACTATTGTGGAATTTGGTCCCCAAAACCATAATGGGGATGGTCTTTTAGGGCCTAATTCCATAATAGTAGTGTATAAGGACCCTCTGGGTAAGATAGAACACGATGCAACTACGCCATGCCAACGAGACTATTGTGGACGGGGGGTTAATAATTAGAGTGGGAGTTAGAGCCAGAACATGCAACCTGAAGGAATACCCAAAGGGTCCTAGGCACTGTTATGGGGGATACTTCCCCAAATCATGATAGAAACTTTAACATAGAAACCCTGCGTTCTACTACATAGGTACTTTGGACCCTTTGGGATAGTATAGGGAATGAGCCAGGCTTCGTTGATACTGACAGCATAATGCAGAGGAGTTGTGGCGGCTGCGGAATGTCCAAACCGAAGCCCCGGCTTCGAACAAACACCTACGTGTTAATGCATGATATGAGATATGGGAACCTTGACAATTAGAAAAACGTGTGCGTGTGTGTGTGTGTGTGTGTGCGTGGGGGGGGGGGGAGGTGGCAGAACATATATGAGATATGGGAACCTTGATAATTAGAAACAAGGGGTGTGTGGGTGTGTGTGTGTGGGGGGGGGGGGGGGGGGAAAGGTAGAATAAAGAAGCATTGCGGAGTAGTATACAAGCATGGATAAATAATTCCCAGTAACTTTCAGCAGGGCTCTATATAAAAACTTATCACTATACTAATAGAGGGTCCAAAACCCCTGTTTATACGGCCTCCCAAAACCCCTGTTTATACGGCCTCTATACGATGATCGGGCACGACATAATAAAGGCAATACCCAGCTGCTAAGAAATATGAACAAGGCCCAATCGGAAAATCTGACGCGGGTTTAGCTTCACGCAAAGCAGAAAGACTTTGCTTTAGTGAGGTGGCAATAGACACGAACATTTTGAGTGCTCTCAGACCCATGAGCAAAACCCACGACTGCAATAGTAATCGAAGCTCCATGTAGCTCCTCATAGCACCACAACCTGACCTCACGGCAAGGTAGGAGCACATCTTCCGAAGCAGTCCTATCCAAGAGATGCCAAGTCGCGTCGTCCTCATATGTTATGAGGTTTGCAGTCCTGCAGCGGAATGCTACATGCCCAATCCGTGTCCATCATTCAGAGGCTGTTTCAGCTCGCAGAATTAGATAGTTTAAGGGCCCTAATGCAGGTTTTCAAGTTCTGAGAACGCTGTTTACGGGATTGTCTGTGTTTGTGCGGGCACTGTAACTCTGAATACCTACTTCCTGACATATGGGCGTCGTAGTGACTACGACGCAGTCGTAACAGCAGTAGCAGTGGCAGTAGCAGAAGCAGTAGTGGTGGTGGTGGTGGTGGTAGATACACGGACCTGAAAACCAGTTCGGAACCCCCAAGCCCGCACGAACAGCCTTGCGACTACCATTAAACTTCAAATCAAGCGTTTTGACAGCTACTCATCCGCTAACATCCTGGGCACAGCATGCATTTTCCGAAGATCCCTGAAAGAACAAACCGTAGATGAACAAACGCCAACAATCAAAAGCCTTCTAGCAAACACCAGACCTTAGATGCCGTAAGCTTATAAGCCCTAAAAAGCCAACCCTACATTCCCGGAAGGGTAAAGCATAAACCCTCAGCATAAAACACAACCCAAAATTTCGTTGCCCGTCCTGGTGCCGAACTCACTTCGGACGGGTATGAGCCCCAGCTTCTGTTTCGCCTTTGGGACGGGTACTACAGGGTCCTTAATAGTTAGAATGGGGTCTCGGGTCACATTATACTAAAAATACAAAAGGAACCACCAAAAAAAACAATTCTAATTAGGGTCCCTGTACTAAACCCTTATAGTAGCCCTTCTAGCAACCCTTATAGACCCCTTTAAAATGAACCCTTTGAAGGAACCCAACTCTAGTTACCCAAACGTTCCAGAATCCCTTAATTTATTTCATATTAGGGCTTCTATTAAAATTTAAGTTATATTCCTTAATTACGGTATTTTGGAAGGTCTGGGTATTAAGGCCCCTACAATAAGAAGCCTTTCGAGGCCTCAATCTAAGGCTTTGCAAAATTTCGTTGAAATCGTTTAGGGGGTTAGGGCGCAGGGTTCCTTTTTAGGGTACTATCTTCAGGGTTCAGGGTATGGGGTGTCGGGGTTTAGGGTTTTGGGGGGTGTAGGGGTCTAGGGATTAGTTAGACAGTGCTCGACACTCCGGGAGCTGGAGTGTCTGGGGCACCCTTAGAGAAGTCAAGAACTATACAACCCCATGCCCAATCTCCTCAATCCTCCAACGCCCAACTCGAAACCCGCAGACCGTGAAACCTTATAGAACCGCTAGAGGCCACGGTAACAAACATCAAAACCTTGTGTTCCCGATAAAACCTGTGAACAATCTTTTAGGCATCTTGTGCAACACCCTTAAACCTGAAAGCCTACTTTGCGGATCGTGGACTTAGTGAGTAGGCAAGTAGGGTTACAAGCACGTTAACTAGGGTTAGAAGTAGAGAAAAAAGTATAAACAACTACCTTACTTACAACCCTACCTACCAAGTCCCCTGATCCCCCCAGTAGACCTCCACCCTATAGATCCATTTACGGAAACCTATAGATCCCTTTGAGGAGCCCTAAAACTTCCTTTAAGGAGCCCTTTAATTTCTAGACCCAAGAATAACCTAGGAAGAAAAAGGGTGCCCTTTTTGGTTTAAAGGGGGTTATAAGGGAACCTAAACCCTAAAAAGGGAATAAGGGCCTACTCTGGGTCCGAGCTTTCCAACTGACTCAATTAAGTCGTGGCTAGCACCAAAACTGGCATTAGCAGGAAGCCTCAACATCTAGCTGTCTAGTTCACAGGTAGCTAAAGCCTGTTAGGGCTGCTATCATAATTTAAGGTATATAACCTTAATTAAGGGATTTTGGAAGGTCTGGGCCCTAAACCCTATAGATCCCTTAAAGGAGCCCTTATAGCACCCTTTAAAGGAACCCTAGGAACGGATTTTGGAAGTTGACAAGAACCTGAGATGGAGATCGCCAGGCCTTGCTCGAAGCCACACCTCGGATGGCGTAGAAACCATCGCTGGAGAACTCCTCCGAACATTGGTGGGCTCAGGGTTCCTTAAAGGGTTCTATAAGGGATCTATAGTAGTGTTCTATAATGTAGGGTTAGGGCTTTAAGGGCTTCTAGGATACCCACTTGGAGGCCCTTTTGACTTGGGAAGTCTACTTAGTATCCCCTAGAAACCCCATTATAATCCCCATAACCCACCTTACTAACCCTACTTACTAAGTCAAAAGGGCCTCCAAGCAGTAACCTCAGGAACCCTATAGATCCCTTAAAAGGAACCCTCTAGATCCCTTAAAGTAGACTAAGGAACCCTATACTAGGATACCCAGTAACCTAAGAATAAAAAGGCCTCTCTTTTTGGTATTGGGTGGCTTTATAAGGAACCTAGGACTGCAAAAAGGGAATAAGGGTACTACTGGGCATCCTAGTTGATGGGTTCAGGGTTACGGGGCTCGAGTTTTCTTAGGCGTTTGGGGGTCGGGATTTGGAGCTTACAGGAAGGCAGCAACACCCCTACAACTGACAAGAACTAAGGCGGTGGGTGGAGGACTGTTGTGTACATCTGGCTCCGTGGTCGCTGACTAAAGCCCTAAGACTCCAAACAGCCTGAAGCAAGTACTACTTATAGACTTTAAACTAAGTAGATAGCATTTGTATACTTGGAGTCCTAGGGAAGGGCTTCGCGGGTCTCCTTCTCCCCCGCCGGCGTCTCCAACTTGAACTCGCCGGGGAGCGTAAGGACCTGCCCGCAGTCTGAGGGGTCTTCTAAAACATGCTATACTCTGTCTCACATCTTGAAAAAAAGCTACCAACATGATAACTTGTTCTCGAGAGCGACCGGTTAAGTAAGGTAGAGCGACCGAGCTACGATCATCAAAGAACTGTGCATGTGTGTGCGTCTGTGATCAAAAGCCCCTGAATGAGCCGAAACCCTAAACCCCAAATCCTTACACCTCAAACCCCAAACCCTAATACCTAAAACAGTTCACTCCAAACCTTGAACTCTGAACCCCACTCAAAGGATCACCAAACCTCCTACGACTGCTAGTCGCAGGATAGACCCTAATCCATTAACCCTCTGGCCCTTAAACACCTAAACCCTAAACCCCTAATTAAACTCTAAACCCTTAACTCCAAACCCTAAACCCTCAACCCCTACCTGTGGCCCCAAACCCTACAAAATAGCAGGTTATGACCCCTTAATTAGAGGGTAGAACCCTTAAAACGGTAGGTTTTGGGATCCCCAGGTAAACCCTAGGAGCCCAGGAGGTACCGGACTCTCCGAAGGAGCTTCCTCGGAGCCTTAACGCATCGCGTTTAGGGTTTAGAGTTTAGGGGTTTAGAGGTTTAGGGGTTTAGGGTTTTGAGTTTATTTTCTACTATACCAAGAGGGTCCATATACACTACTATTATGGAATCAGGTCCCCAAAACCATAATGGGGATGGTCTTTTTGGGCCTACTTCCTTAATAGTAGTGTATATGGACCCTCTGGGATAGGGGCCTTAATAATTGGAATAGGGTCCTTTTAAAGGGGTCTACAAGGGTTACTATAAGGGCTACTGTACTATAAAGGTTTAGAGTGGGGATGAAACATAATTAGACTAGGGTTTTGGGGCCCACTATAGGATAATTATGATCAGGACCCCCCCCAAACAAAAAAAAGTTTGTGATAATTTCGGCCCCTATATTACATGGTTCTCATTGTTGAGGGTTTAGGGCTTCGGGCTTAGGGGTCGGGGTTTGTTCTACTGTAGGGGTTTCTATTGTCTTACAGTTCGGCTCCTGATGCTTAGCACGATCGAGAGTCATGGCTGCCCCTGGTGACCTACTCTTGGGCCCAAAACACGGCACCAACAACTTAGACGTTAAACCCTAAGAGCCTTAAAGTCCGAATGCCCACTCAGCAGCAGCCGACAGCGCAAAGCAAGTTTGGAGGTAGAAAATAACACACATCACTCTGTTCTCATGGCTACAAGTAGCTGCACTTGTGCTGATGGATGAGACGTGGTTCCGATGTACGACTCACCGCCAGCAGCTCGCCGTAGTGGGGTGATGTGGAGCGTTTGCCCGCATTGGTGAAGTCGATGCAGAAGAAGCCCACGCAGGTGAAACAAAAACAATTCTACCACTATCCGTGCAAGATTCTGTCGCACTCCCAAAGCTGCTTCTGTAGCTTCGTACCTCGCCCTTCCAGCCGAGTCGTTTCTCTTGGCCATTTTCTGGGCCTTGTCCACCAGCAAAGCATGTGCGGGCGGCTTGCCACACGAAATCACCAGCGGAGCGGCCTTCCCTGTTGAAGGCGCAAGCTGCTGATCGCCCGGGGCTTCCACGCCTTCATAAAGGAGCCCTCGCAGTTTTGGAGGGATGCCAAAGACAGGGCGGAGGAGCTCCAACTTTTGCATGGAGAAGGATACAGGTTAAAGTTCCACAACAACTACACCGGTTTCGCCCTGACCCTTGCAGAAACCTGAACACTAATCAAATCGCAATTGCTTGGACCCTAAACACACAAATCCACTCCTTCAAAGCTAAAACCTAAAAGCTAATGGTAGAAGCTTGAATAATTACCAATACTGTTCCTTAGGGCTCGAGAAAACTCCTACGTGGAGATCGCCGAAGCCCCAGTGTAGTGTCCCTACACGTCAGCCATAGATACGGCGCCAGTGGCCAGCCCTTCGTGGCATCGTGCTGCTCGACTTCAACGATCCCGTGCAAGACGCCGTGTCCGACGAGGACAAGCGCTGAAACAGCAGCCATCACGAAGGGACTTAGCCAGACTACAAAGTCACCACAGCAGGCCCCGGTACAGAGCAGCAATGGGTCGCTCTTGGGAAGACCGCAAGAAAGGAGGCGGAAAGCAGCCAGGGCATGGTGGTTCGCGTGGGGGCTATTGGCGTGGTGCCTACAGCCCCAGTTATCGTGGCCATGGACAAGCATACGATACGTGGCAGGACGACGATGCTCGTCCCCAGTCAACGAGCTTTCCGGCTTACGACTCCAAGGATCGTGCAGCCGCTGTCCGCAAAGAGCAGCAGGCCAAGGCATGGCAGAACGACGACAGCCTCCCGAGACGCGACGACCCACAGGAGACCATGACCACAGATCTCCAGGACTATATCAACGTGACCCGACGCTCAGAACAACGTGTACGGAATCTCATGAGCGCGAAGGAGAAGAAAGAACGTCTTTGGATCAAGTACCAAGAGGAGATGAAGCAAACGCTGCAAAGAGAATCGCGAAGGCATACCAAGACGATGGACAGCTTCGACAAGGACCTTGCCACTGCAGTTGCAGCCAGAGAGGAGGCACGCCAAAACCTACGCCTCTTCTTTCAAAGAGGAGGGATCGTAAAAGCCATGGACGACGATACGGGCGAGGACTGGAGGGCCAAGATGGAGGCCTGGCAGAGGGAGACTCAGGACCACGAGAACCCCCAAGCAGTTTTACAGCGAGCCTTCCAAGGACAGGCACCTACACCACCGGGGCTGGGGCAACCTCCCCTAGGCAGTTTGATGTCGCCGGAAGCAGCGGCTCGCTTGTTGGAAGCTACGCTAATCAGCCACGGCATGGATCCTGGGATGAGACCTCCGACGGCGGCTCCTCCCCCACCGGTGTCAGCGGCCGACATTTTTGCAGCCACGTGTGGGGCCAACGATCCGGTGCACCGCGAGCCGAGCCTCCCGGCTGCACCATATGTTGCATCCCCTTCGCATCATCGAGTCGAGCCACCTCCGATGGGAAGCACGTCGCCTGCACCAAAGACCAGCCCTGCGACAAGGCCTCGACAACATACTCGCCAGCCTATCAAAGGTGCACCTATCCAACCGGTGCACTTACAGCAGACTGGTACCCTCACGACCAAGCTGGAAGCCAAGCGACAAGCGCTTGCAGCGGAACAAGGTGCCCCGACGCCTGGAGAGAGCGCACAGGTGGAGCCACCAGAGACGTCACCGCATCCGACCACACACCCGCTCTTCAATGTCGACGACGACGACGAAGACCTCCAGGAAGTCCCCGCCGCGGGTACCAGCAAAGAGGGCACGCTCGATGGCCTTGGCTAGCAGCGATGAGCGGAACCTGTGAGCTCAGGATGGCCAGTGAATTCTCGCCGGACGGTACCAGTTCGCGTCCAGTTTGGGACTGTGACGCGGGCTGGTTGCCCGACAGTGGGATTCCATGTCATTTTGAGTCTCCGGTGTCTGCACGAGGCTTCTTCGAAGGGTGTACAGATCCATTTGATTGTAGCTTGTACAGCCGTTCGAACTGGCAAGTCTTTCTACGCTTAGATGTTTTGGGAGATGTCAGTCCTCATGTTTGCTTCTCCCCCCCTGCCCCTCACGTCCATGGCGCATCCAGGGAGGTATCCTTGCTTGGGATATTCTTGCCTCGGTGTCTGCCTACGTCTTCCTCGCGAGGACTGGAACGCATTGGGCTTTTGCGGTTTCCAGGACTCCTACGCCACTTCAGCAGCACATTCCTCTGCTGCCCAAGGCCTATTTGGCGGTCGCGCCTGTGCACTGCGTACCGAAGAGACGTATCGGTGGTTCTGGGACGTTCACCAGTGCACAGTCTGCCTGCCCCCATGGTACCCTAGTCTGGTTTAGGCCCTATCTCAAGGCGTGTAGCGCCTCTCCCTTTTTGGGTAATAAGAACAGTAGGCTGGCGCATTGGATTTTTGCGGCCTCAAGGACTCCTCTGCCGCTTCAGCAGCACATTCCTCTGTTGCCCAAGGCCTATCTGGCGGTCACGCCTGTGCACTGCGTACCGAAGAGACGTATCGGTGGTTCTGGGACGTTCACCAGTGCACAGCCTGCCTACCTTAATAGTGCCCTAGTCAGGTTTAGGCCTCATACCAAGGCGTGTGACGCCTCTCCCTTTTTGGGTACTAAGGACAGTAGGCTGCCTACCTCATGGCGCCCCTCGCCGCAGCCTTTGCCCCCCAGCGCCACCACCTCCTTTGGACACGGCCCTGTTACACTGTCCCGTGCTCTGCAATGGCTCTCCCGCATTTTGGTCCCTTTGGCCCGTACAACTTGTGCAGGCATCGGCTTTCTGCTGTTCTGCCTGCTAGCTTTGTGGTGTCCCAGGCGCCATTCGGGTCCTCTGCGATACGCAACCATTGTTAAGAGTGCCTTTTCTGTTCAGTGTCTGTGTGCACTTGCATATGTTGCACAACCCAATGCCAGGGTGTTACACTGGGAAGCGTCTAAGCCATCGCCCAGGGCCGCTCCTAGTCGGCGAAGGGCAGACAAGTCCACGGCCAGGTTTTCCTGGATCCGGCCTCTCCTTTTTTCCTGTCTGCCTCAACAGGTATTCTCTGTACCTCCGGAGACGCGCGAGACCCTTCATACCATACAACGTATAGTCGCGCACTCCCCAGACTTCCTAGACCCCAGTACGGCAGCGTTTCAGCCAGATCAGGACACAGGAGCATCGATTGTTCCTCTCCCTCGATTGCAACCTGCCGTCGATCCTGCCCCCGAGGACTACTGGCTCGGAGTCACTGTGCACTCAGCTTACTACTGTTCCCACAGTTTTGGCATTCGACACTCACCCCACCAGAGTCATGCGGCCCTACTCTGTCAGGTGCATAGACACGAAAGTGCTCGTGGAAACATGCATCAGAAGCTGTCCTTTGTGAGTCCACCGAGGTTCCCAGAGTTCGTGGAATTCGTGTCTTATCCAGCCTGCGTGGACGGGTTAGGCCTAGTGCCGGTTGTCATTAACCTTACACACGTAGG